TAATTAATAATAATAATAATAAATTGTAATTTGTAATTTGATTAACTTCTTTAGTTAGGGTCCAGATAAGTAATAGACTTGATCATCTAGTACCGCGGACCATTCATATAATATTTGCAAACAATTTTGTCATAGAAACATTTTACAACAAATTAATACAATTATGTACAATTTATACAATAATTAATAATATATTACATATTTTATATTTGTACTTTAGATTAAATTAACCATAGTTTAATATAATAATTAATAATAATAATAATAATAATAATAATAATAATAATAGATAATAATAATTAATGCCCGGTGCGCGCGCAGGGCGGCGGGCTGGTGCGCCTGTTCCCATCGACATGATGCGGGCGGAGGGCCACCCGGTCGCAACGAGGCCGGCCGCGGTCGGGGGACGCGGGCGCGGCTGCGCGCGGCGCTGGGCGGCGCGGCGGCGCCGCGGCGGTGGCGAGCGCGACCGCGGCGGGCGGCTGGCGCCTTGCACCTGGCGGCGACACACGCCGACGCCGACGCCGTCGCGGACGCCTGCTGGCGCCGCGCCGCGCCGACGCTGCGCGACGCGCTCCTTCGGGTGACGACGCTGGCAGTACGCCGACGCCGCCACAACCTACACGCGGCGAGCCGGCGTGCTGCTGCGGCGCGGCGCCCGCCCCCCGAGGACTGGGCGCCACGCTGGACTTGGGCGCGCGGAACCACACTTTCCTCGTGGTGAGCGCCCCCTGCGATCGCTCGGCCGCGCGGCGACGGCGTGACCCTCCTGCCGTCGCTCACTGGCGAGGATCTGCCTCATAAGTACAGTGCATGTTTTGTTCACGGGAGGTGAGTAGGGGTGACGGCGCTGCACGCGGCCGCCGCCGGGGGCCACGCGGCGCTGGCGACGACGCTGCTGGAGCTCGGGGTCGTCGAGGTCGACGCGCGCGACGCCAAGGTGCGTATTAATTGAAGTGGAGACATCCCCCGATTCCCTTTGATAGCATGCAGGTTGCAGGATGTGCTTCCGGTTTCGCAGAAAAAAAGTATTTCACATTTACATATTTATTGTTATTTTCCTCCGACCATGTTGTGAACATTTATAAGTGATCCACGTTGCTTGGACAGTAATTTTTTAACTTTTATTTCTTTATTATTTATTTCATAATATTTGTTATTTTTTTCATATAAATCCACTATATTTGTTTTTGCTCCCTTTATGTTTATATTTCAATTTTCTCCTCCTTGCTAAAAACCCATTGAGGGTGGGAAACGTGTTTTTCCGAAAGTTCACTCTGAGTAATAATTAATAAACATTATTATACTTTTCGTGGACGATTATTTCCTTCTCCCTTTATGGATTACCATGAGATATATGCTACCACTATGGAATGTATTGTTACTCACTTAACTGGCATTGATAAATAAATACACACTTCAATATTGCACTTGTTACACAGTTCAGTTAACACAGCGATGTATCCCAACGGAACATTAAAGATTTATGTGAAGCTGGTGCTTCGTTCTAATATGAGGTGATATACACTGCCGTATTCAACTCAGGTAACAGCACAAAATAATAATTAAGTTTGCTCAACTAATCGTTGATCTTTATGGGACTTCTAAATTTATAAGACTGTAGCTTATGCGAGAATTTTACGGGTATGTCTTACACGGGGCTCTGTGGACACGATTCACACACTGTGTTTCGAATGATGTCCACTGCCGAACTGATTTCTGCAGGCGGCAGGTGTGTCGCTAAGATTGTCTGCGCATACCAGGATGTCGAGTGTGTGGGGGGGGGGGGACTAATAACGTATCACAGATTAGCATTTAAACTGATTCTCGAAGAATTTGAAGATTATTTCAGTTGAGTCGGTTGTATTTCGACGGTTAGCCATCGCTGCACTAGCGATCATGTGATATTTCGGGGAAGCACCGTGACGTCACGGTTACTTGCGACACGGCGTGCAAGCAGAGAGAGTGCAAGGCGCCGTGCGTCTAAAGGGCTTCCTGTAAAAGCTGTAACGGATTCAGTCTGTTGAGCATGGACAAATAAATTGCAACTTTTCTGTTGTTTTTTTCGTATGAACCCCCGAACATGGTAACAAACAAATCGATTGCATGCAATAACTGTGTATGTTACCAGTCTCCTAATAAAAAAATCCACGCGAGGAAGTAACACGTAGAGTTTCTTCTTCTGTAAGACTGTCATTCATCTCACCGCTTATATTGTAGGTTACCACCTTATGTGTAGTATTTATCGCCACTGTTTTTCTCACAACACTCGTTTGACGTGCCGCCGTAAAGGGCGCGACGGCGCTGCACGAGGCGGCGGGCGCGGGCCACGTGGCGGCGGTGGAGGCGCTGCTGGACGCGCCGGGCGCGGACGCCGACGCGCGCAACCTGCACGGCGCCACGCCGCTCTACACGGCCGCCCTCCGCGGCCACGCGGCCGTCGTCCGAGCGCTGGCCCGGCGCGGCGCCGACGTGCGCCTGCGCACGGCCGTCGCCAACGTCAGCCCGCTGCAGGCGGCCGCCGGCCAGGGCCATGCCGACGCCGTGCGCGCGCTACTGGAGCTGGGCGCCGACGACGACCCGAACCTGGTGAGCTGGGCTGCCGACGCGCGCAGGGCGTGAAAGGAAACTAGCCGGTCTGCTGCCTTGTCTATAGTTTCGTTACATACAAGATAGGTCCCAAACGAAATGCGTAGCATTTTTTTACAACAAATTCATTAATCAGATAGGTTCAGCACCTTAAAACTCTTTTAAACCTTGTGTCGATACATTTTTGCCAACGTGATTTCCTTGTCACGTACACTCCCAGGAAGTACTCCCCTTGGGCGCAGTGCGCGCTCTGCCCCTTTGTTACCAGGTCGTACTCGAAGATCCACGTCACATTCCCAGTGATAACAGTTATCTAAAATTAGGATGAAACATGTTGAAAGTTTTCACCGGCGTCTTGTTCAACTCTACTCAAAACTTGATCACATATCTTTCTTCCGAAGATTTCTCCATCGTAGTACGACACGACTACTGCACAGGGGCGCGCAAACTTTCACGTTCTAACCTCCCCAGGGGACGGAGACAACCGAACAAGGAATCGTTGAGGAGCTAAACCTTCCCTTACCGTATCCAAACTAGTCTAACGGTTCTGCGAATTAGAGTGGAGACAAAGAAATTGCGACACTTTACTTTTGGGACAGACTTTGTACATAGGAATTAGTAAAAAAAATACATTTCTATGCATACGTAAGCTTCCGCGGCTCGAGGCCATATGTTTTTGGCTGTCCGGGTGACAGCGCGTCTTGGCTGAGAGGCCGACGTTTCGCCAGTCACATCGCAGGCTTCCTCAGGGCAGTGACACCGCAGTTGTTTTATGGTTTTCCTTTCCTCAGTAGGCCTAAAGAGGAGGATTTTTATTTATACCTATATTTCTGCAGCCGTTTGGCTTCTGCAGAAAGGAGAGGGCCTAAACAGGCGACTGAAACGCAACGCATTCAGACGACAAATCGTGCGCGCGGTCGCAGGCGGAGGAGTCATCCGCCGTGCACATGGCGGCGGCCTTCGGCAGCCTGGAGACGCTGCGGGCCTTGGTGGAGGGCGGCGTGCGCGTGCGGGGCCCGCCGGGCTGGGGCACGCCGCTGCTGTCGGCCGCCGACGCCGGCCACGCCCCCGTCGTCCAGCACCTGCTCGACCTGGGCTGCGACCCCAACGCCGCCAACACGCGCGGCGCCACGCCGCTCCTCATGGCGGCGCAGGAGGGCCACGAGCAGGTGAGACGGCCCTGCCTCTCCCGACTGCGAGTCTCTAGGGTTCGAGTTCTGGCTGCGGTACATGGTTTAGAAATTGAGTGTTTACTCTTTGCACGGCTTAAAACCGTCGATCTGCTCACATATAACCATATTATTTCCATATTATAACCATATTGTTAGCTACAGCGAATTCAGTCGCTGTCTGGAGGAGGATACGGGCGGCCGGCGGCTCTGATCGGTAGTTTTTCGTCGTTCTCTCCTATCAACACCAGGCGAATGCCGGAGCAGTACCCTAACAAACGGGCCACGCACCGCGCGCCATCTCATCTCCCTCATCCTTGCCCTATCTTCACTCCTTACACACGCACTTACACTAATACGCACTACACTACCACACATCCCGGGAAACCCGCCAGAAGCTGAGAGCTTGTCCCAGCTGGGGCTGTGACACGCTGGTGGGAGGTACCTAGTTGGGAAAACCCGCGCTAATCGACGGTAGATCGGCGCTGCATCTCGCCATGCAGCGCGGGAAAGATCACTGCCTCCTCCTAAGCAAAAAACATGCTTTACATATACGGGACTAATGACCCTGGTAGTAACAGAAGTGTCCGGAATCAATAAACAATCAATTGAAATGAAGACGTATCAGATAATTCGCTCTTCGAGTGACACTTCGCCATCGATAATATTTTAAGTTGAAAGTGGCGAAAAATCAATTTCATCTTCACTTGGTAATACAATTAGTTATTGGCTAACTTTTTGGCAAAAAAATAAAAGTTCAATTTTCATTTCTCCGTGTATTTTCACGATGTCTTGCACTGAGTGGTGGCCGCCCAGCTGTTGGTGTGCGGGACGTCGGTGAATTCGCTTGTTGTGCGTCGCGTTTACGCACGCGACCAAGGTGCTTTACGTCAGTTTCAGAGCCTTCGAGATTTCTCGATCTTTTCTAAAAAAATATTGTATTTTCTCTCTAAATTGCTGTGAAAAAAAATTGTTTCTCTAAAACAAAAACCAGGATTAAAATTCTGGTAACTTGAAACAATTTAACACGACAACGTCAGTAAAACCACGAAATTACAAACATAAATTTAAAATCATTAAAATTTTTAAAAAATGTGTTTGGTTAGTGTAGGTAAAAATTAGCAATTTGATCGACTGCGGTCCGAACAGAGCGTAGCACCATCGACATTCGTCTATGTTTTAATATGCACAGGGGTTAATTGCACTACAGTGAAACCTGATTATAAAGAAAGGGCTCGGGACCGATCTAAATATTGGTTAAAACAGTTTTCCGTTATTACCAGGTTTTCAAAATTTCCTGAACCAAATAAAATGTAATTCGTTACAAAACAATGTTTTAATTAAATCACATTGGCAGTACCTACAACATACAGCAGCACGGGTTCGTCGCAGTTAAAGATGTCCATCTCGTTGTCCCCAGATGTGATCGCTGTGAAATTCTTTTCAGTCATTCACACGCTGCATTGTAATAGCTGTACATTATTTCATATACAGTCTTGCAACATAATTGATGTCTCGTCTTGTACGATTCCTATCGCCCCTTTGAAGCTTTAAATCCGAGTTGCCTAACTTTCGAGGGTTTTCAATAGTCTTGGCTTGTAAAATGGGTCCTGAAATTGGCATATTCGTTCCCCGCATTGCCAAGTGTGTTCTTTAAATCCTTTCCTCTCATTTTTCATAGCCTTTCGTTTGGAGAGTGAATAGTTTTCTTGCAACACTTTGTTCACAATAGATTCTTTCCCTTGAAAAACTGTATACACTTGCATCTTTTTTATTCCAAATTTTTCACACATTGCGCAAACTGTCATTTTTCCTTTGCAAAGTAACACTTCCACACATTCTTGCAATATCAATAGTTTCTTCGTTTCCGAAATCATCAGTTACGGAGCACTACACTCATTTACGTTACACACCCATTTACTAGACCAAACAGACGGTGAGGTACTTAACTGAAGACTGAAAATAGTTCAACCGCTTCGAATATTCAGAGCTTTTTACGCAAGACTTTTGGGTTGGAAGAGAAAGGACAAAACATACGTCATCGGAATCGGCTTCTCCCTCTGGAAATTTGACAACTTTTAGCGCATCACGCTGCGTGCTCCAAACAGTTGTGAAGGTCTTTCCTTCGTGTGACGTCGCCACTTTCTTCCCTTTCCGCAACCGCCAGGTTGTCAACTCCAAATAAAGTGAAAAAGTCTGTCCGTTTCCGTGTTCAGCAGGTTCCGTAACAGGAGGTAAAATTAGATGCATTTTAGTAGTATTTAATAGTAGTAGTAATTACCTGCATATAGTAACCGCATGCGACCGTCATATTTTTCCGATCAAGTCAGTTTTTCCGTTATTACCAGGTTCCGTTGTGACAGCACTACGTCCGCGGCTATCTTTCGCAGGTGGTGGCGCTGCTGCTGGCGCGCGGGGCCCTCGTGCGGCCGAGCACCCAGCCCGCTCGCACGGCCGTGCACTCCGCCGCCCGCAACGGCCACGAGCGCGTGCTGCGCCGCCTGCTGGACGCCGCCGACGGCGCCGCTGCCGTGCACGCGCGCGACACCTTCGGACGGCTGCCGCTACACTTCGCGGCGCAGGGCGGCCAGCGAGCGGCGATGCGAGCGCTCCTGGCGGCCGGCGCCGACCCGCTGCAGCGCGACGCCGCCGGCCTCACCCTGCTGCACCACGCCGCGCTGCAAGACGACGCGCTCGTGGTGAGCGGGGAGGCGGCACCGATGTCGATGTTTTTAACAAAATATCGACGTTTTAAACTTTCTTGAACTGAAGCCGATGGTTTTTGAACTTAGATATTCTGTGATCGATTTCATTTTTGTTTTCGATGTTTTGTTTGAGGATGAAAAAATCTCCGTAACCTCCGTAACCGTGTTAAAGGTAAAATACGAAATAATAACGGATGGCACCACTGTCTCCTGGGTTCAAACCAACGAACGTGGTTTGTACTACCTTCTTCGAGCAGACTATCTCTCGTCCGAGATGATCCTGTTGCTCTAGCATTTACTTCGCATTTCGCACGTAGAGAGGCGTTTTTAATGTTGTTTTTCGTTAAAATTTAATTAAAAACTAATGTCCACGGCCACTGCTAAATTATTTTTTTTGCGGGTGAATTTGACTTTAGCGGTTCCTAAACCAGCATTAAAACGTCGATGATCAAAAACAAGCGTTTTTTGTTTGACGTATTATTAACATAGATGTGTTTATTTTGAACATTGATGTTTGGCAAAATTGATGTTTTGTTGTTGATGTCGCATCACTGGTGGTGAGCAAGCTGCCCAAAATTAAGACAGATGAGGAAAAACGTGAAATACCATTCGACATATCCAACAGCGTTGTGGCTTCCGTAGTGTATCGATTAGTGTAAAGGACCGTTGTACGTAAGTTTGCGGGTTCAAATACAATCGATGCCTTGGATTTTTAAGGGCGAAAACAATCCTTAGTATGTCTTCCTTTTGCCGGCTGCCTATTTTGAAGATTTACTACATGTAAAAGATCTTCAAGCGTAAAAGAAGTCTTAAATTTAGCTAAATTTAAATCGCCTATTTCGTTGCCCGAGTGTTATCTTCTTTCTTCGCTAGATGTTAAAAGAAACGTACCGAAATTTGATAGTCAGACGGAAGAGCAGGCCTGATGACCTGAGATGCCAAGTAAAATGAGGGGTACGGAGCACGAGTGGTATAAGTGCATTTTAGGTTAATTTTGAGTTGGGAGTAGGAGTGTAATGTAAAAACTCTGTTGGGAGTAGGAGTGTAATTTTATTTCGTCAACAAAATGGTATTTCAGTAGCTGAAACAGTTGTCGCATTCAAGCGGTGGGAAGAAAATGCCTTCCATAGCGTTTTTCATTGTCAGTCAACTTTGAATTTGATTTTAACAATACCACATTTAGGACACTTATATAACTTGGGATTATGTCGCCTTATTTAAAGCAGCATTGAATTGAATTATGTTATTGTTGTAATGTTATTAAACAGAGGTATTTTAGATGAAAAACAAAATACACCAACGTGTTCCTCATAAGTTCCCTCCCATTGAGGCGTATATCCAGCGACTTTTCGGTCCGAATTGCCGAGTAGGTACACGCTCTTAGCCACCTAGGCCAGAGGTTAAAGGCTTATGTGCCATCATTGATCAACTTGTTGTACGAATTGCAATCGACCTGCCAAGAGCAGTCGTTTTGGCGTCTAACTTCAGCAAGCGTGTGAAAGTTAGGTCATGCACAGTAAATTGAAGATAGCGAAATAAATAAATAAATAAATAAATAAATAAATAAATAAATAAATAAATAAATAAATAA